GAACTCCTGAGCTCAAACAATCCGCCCGCCTCGGCCTCCCAGAGTGCTAGGATTACAGGCGTGAGCCACCACGCCCGGCCCTTCACTGTTATTTTTTAAGTGTACATCACCACTGTTTAGTTCCAGAACATTCCATCGCCCCAAAAGGAAGCCCCGTTCCCATTAGCAGTCACTCCCCATCCCCTCCCCCAGCCCCGGGTGACCACGAATCCACGTCCCGTCTCTGTGAATCTGCCTGTTCTGGATGTTTCATATAAATGGAGTCTCACACTGTGAGTCCTTCTGTGTCTGCCGTATCCCACTGAGCACGATGTCCTCAAGGTCCATCCACGCTGTGGCCTGTGTCAGAGCCTCGTTCCTTTTCATGGCCGAGTGATATTCCAGTGCGTGGATGGACCACATGTGTTTATCCATCCATCTGTTGGTGGACGCTTTTGTTTCTGCTTTTTGGCTATTGCGAATACTGCGGCTATGAACATTCATGTATGACTTTATGTGTGCAGGGGTGTTGTTTTCGATTCTCTCGGAGCATCTAAAAGTGCTGTTACCTGAGTCGGCCAGATGCATTTCCGGGGATGAGCAACAAGGAACAGGCACCTGCTCCGAGGACGGTCAGTCGTGCGGGGTTGCCCTTGGGGATGGTGATGGGGGAGGGGGCAGTGACCCCGGTGACGGAGATAGGATCGCCCCCACTGCCAGATCCTGAACAAGGGCTCAGCCAGCCCCTCAGGGCCTGCTTTTGTGACTCTTAAGGTTTGGGACCTACCAATGGCTTGATATCCACGCATGACATTTCCCTGTTGGCTATGTCCACAGTTAATGTAGATATGGTGGCTCGCCTTAGGCTGCAAGGCAATGGAAGCTTGTGTTACTAGAGACAGCACTGCAGTCAAAAGCATGGTGGAGTCATTCATGCACCCATCCATCCATCCATCCACCCACCCACTCATCCACTTATCCATCCATCCACCCACCTATCCATCCACCCACCCATCCATCCAGCCAGCCACCCTCC